CTTGAATTAACAACATAGTAATATGCTTCTTTGCAGTATTATAATGTATGCTTTTGTAGTTGGTCATTAGAGACAGTCAGTCAAGTTATTTGACTTAATACCTGAATATCCACAGGTCAGTCTTTTAGTCTCATTCATAAAATGGAAATGCTAAAATCCACCAAAAAGTGTTCTTGTGAGAATAAAATAAAATACATGTGAATTAAATAAAATTGAGTAGTGTTATAAAATTTTTACATAGTACACAGAACATAAGCCTTTCATTTATCATAAACTCTAAAATCCTGTCTTTGTATAAGCAGGTTTTGTCCAAATTGCCCCTCTTCTTTCTCCTAAGTCTTAGCTCTCAGTTTTCAAATGTCCAGTCAAGTTTTTAAACTCTGTAAGACGTATTCCAATTGCCAAGAGAGTGAATTACCTATTTCACTGATTAGCACTATGCCTCTTGTATCTTTATTGTTCTTCTTACCTCCCTAAATTATCCTCTTTCATTTCCCTTTCTCTCTTTCTTTGACGGCAATGTGTTTGGTGATATATCAAACATGTTCACTAAGAAAATAATTATCATTGATTTAGAAAGATATCTATATCTATCTATCAATCTATCTCTCTCTCTCTCTATATATATATGTATGTATATGTATACCAAAATTTCAAAAAGATAACAAAAGCAGAGAAAAATTTAGAACAGTTTTTACCTAAACCATAAATATCAGTATCAAACCTGTCATGTCTACTGATTACTTAAAAAGACAATTTAGGACCAGATTGACTAGTTCAATAATACTGGAAACATGTTTTCAAAAGTTTAATACCAAAGCTGCTTATGAATAATGCCAAAATTTGCTTGTGATTATTGACCATGTTACTGTACCCTGAAAAAGGAAACAGAGCCAACATTTTCAAAGTTGCACAATTATACTTTAGATTGTGTGTCCCTAAGTACTTCTTTACTTCCAAATAATGTGTCGCAGTATATTGGGTATGAAGTAATTCACACCACATGAGAATTAAAAGATCTATTTTTAACTTATGATACCCAAAATTAAAAGAAAAACACGTTTTTTAAAAAGGACATAGCTGAACAGTTGATGCAAAAATGAGAAAAACAGTGATGATCTAGAAAAGATTAACTTCTGGGTTTTCTTTTTTTTTTTCTTTCAAATTCTACTTCACATTTTTTTAACCTTCACTTGGATGAAACTCAAAGAACTAAGTTTTTGATTCTAAAACAGAAAATCAGGCTTTCAATTCTGGCTAGTACCTAAGTTCAATTATATAGAAGTCCCAATTCTTACAACTGATTTATATCTTTGCAATCTTAGAAAAACTCACACAAAGCAACCTTTAAACTTTTATAACTTGATGGTTAGTAAAAACTAAATTATATTTTTTGGTCCATTTTAAATGGCAAATAGGAAAATATCTGGAAAATAACTTATAAAAACATTGATTTGAAACATATGAAAACCGGGCTGGGGATTTGGCTCAGTGGTTCTGCTGCCTGCCTCGCAAGCACAAGAACTGGAGTTCGATCCCCAGTACAAAAAAAAAAAAAAAAAAAAAAAAAAAAGAGTTAGAAATATATGAAAACCATTCTCTGTTCAGAGGAGTCAAGACTCCTCAAAGAAATGGCTGATATCAAGACAGGCTGAAAAGAAATTAGTCTGGATTAAATTACAGTATTAGAGGGCCAGGGATTTAGCTCAGTGATGCTGCCACCTGCCTCACAAGCAAAACGTCCTGAATTCAATCCCTGGTACACACACACACACACACACACACACACACACACACACACACACACAACAAAACAAATCAAAAACAGTATTAGAGCAGAAAGCTAAAAAGTACTTAAAAAGAAAATGGGACCTTATTTTTAAAAACACAGAAACCAGCCTGAGAGATGCCCACTGGTCAAATATGGGAAAAAAGTGCATTAAAGGCACAAAACCATTAATGAATTGTACATTATTGAAAAAAAAACTGGAATCCATTAGTCTATGGTTCAGACAGATAGAAAATTTTTGCTTATGATAAAATATCAATTGTTGATAGATAAAGGTAGAGGGAGCATGGAGGTGGGAAGTAACAATTTTACAATTATCATAATCAAAATTGGGCCAAAATGCTATATCTAAGAGAGCATGAGTGAAGAGGATATTTGTATATTCAAAGTGTCTTCCTACAGATCACTTATTATTTGCAAGTGAAAAATAATAGCAACAATACAGTAGAGAAATCTAACAGTCACTTGACCTTGTTACCAAAATTAATATCATCAATGAGAAAAAAGATACTCTGTACTTCCACGTATGAACCCTCAGAAGGACACCCTTAGAAGGATCACACACTTAAGTAGTACCCTAACTTTTGAATCCAATGAGACATTAAAAAAATACAAAATACAAAATATTCTGTTAAAAAGGGATATAGCAGATTATATTACTCAAAATGTCAATGTTATAAGACAAAGAAAGGCTCAGCAACTATTCCAGATGAAGCAATATAAAAGAGAAATGATAATTAAACGTAATATATGTGATATGTACTGGGCTTATCCTGGAAGAAAATAGGGGAAGGAGCTATCAAGAACATTAGGCCAGGTATTGCTGCAAATGGTGTCCCAGCTAATAAGGAGGTTGAAATAGGACTGCTTGAGCCTAACAAAAGATTACAAAGTGAATATGGATGAAGAATATATGAATGCTTGCATAATTTCAGAAATTTTTATGTAAGTTTACAATCATTTATAAATAAAATCATTTGAAAAATACCCAAGAATTTCCAGAACCTCTTTATAAAACACCTGTGATGATGTCATAATGTACTGCCTTTTTGTCTGGTTATCTGGAGGGAAAAGGAGCAGATAGTGAAGGGAAAAACCTAAACAATCAGTTAGCTTTGTTTGTAAATTGTAAAGAATACAAAAATAAAAAATACACTGCATTTCATTTAAACTCTAAACATCAACACAGAAATGAAAGAGTAGCACATGGACCTGAGGACATTCTTCAACTTAGACTGAATTTTTAAAAATGAATTTAATCAACTAGTTGTCAAGCAATATCGATCAGAACACTAAGACAGAGGAGACTGTCTTCACAGATTATTGACAATATAATCTTTAACTTCAAACATAATCAATATGCTGATAGCCATTAAATATTTCACATCAAATATTTTAGTTTGATCCCAGCACTTGGGAGGCTGAGGCAGGAGGATTGCTGTGAGTTCAGGACCAGCCTGGGCTACATAGTAAGTTCCAGGTCAGTCTCAACTACACAGTGAGACCCTGTCTCAAAGAAACCACAAAAAAAAACAAAAAAAAAAAGAAAGAAAAATAAATTTTTTTTAGTTTGATTCCATAATTTTAAAACCTTCAGATTTTATATAGCTTCCCACAAAGATCTGACATAGAAAAAAGTGCTGATGATGCAGATAATGTATATTTTATTCTATGTAATCCTTTAATATTTTACTGTCAATAAACTAACATACCGGTTTTAATATATGTCCAATGTATGTGTCATGATAAGTGATTTGTTTCCTTTTATACTGAAAATCAGGTGTCTGCATCCAAAAAATTCAAATTTTGTAGTTTAATAAACATAATCAAAACTATAAATGCTTCTACATGAAGCCACTCCAAAAAGCAAGCCAATCATTTCTCCCAGTGATTATACTAATTTACCTGCATGTAGCAGAAGCTATAATAAATGATGCAAGCTGGCTCACCTAACATCCTCCAAACCCCTTTCTGGTTTCCTTCTTGTACTACAGAATCTGGAAGGCAAAACAACTATCACCACCACCACCAATAGATCCCACACTTTTTCTTCCTCTCATGAAGGTGGGTTCTGCAAACAATCCACCAAGGAAGCACCCATTTGAGATTTACAAGCAGAATTCAGCAGTGTGAGATGCTGACCACACATGCGGGAATGAAATACTCTAAGACGACTATAATGAAGGTTGCATGCAGCACATAAGTACCAAGTGGTAAAGATGGAAAGAATGTGGTTTCTATGACAGCAGTCCCGAGCTGGACTATTCCTTGTACCCATAACTGATTCCCTGTTCATTTCTCATCCCTGAAGCTCCATTCCAGAAACTCCATTAGTTAGTTGCCCAGTATTTTGTTAAATACCCTTTCTGCTTAAAGAAAGTAGATCCAGTTGTCTGAAACTAAAAACCTTAACCAGAACTCTGAACAAACATTTTAAATTTCTATAGTCCTAGTCTATGAATGTTGGACCAATCATGTTGATAATAGCACTTTAATAAGAATGAGTTAACATTTACTGAGCCAGGCATGGGGGTGTGTGGTACACAAGTTTGAGCTTAGCCTGGGCAACCTAGGGATTCAAAAATTTTTTTAAAACCCTGAAAAATAAGGCTGGGGGCTATAGATTAGTGTAGATGCCCTAGGTTCAATCCTCCAATATCAGGAAAACACACACACACACACATTTTACCTGAGTGCTTCAACAATGTCAAGGATTATAATAAATGATTTACAAACATTTGTATTAAATATTTTATGAAAGATCTCCTGGGAGAAAAACTTGAAGGAAAAAAAAATCTAGGTTCAGAAGAGGAAGCTAATCTCTTTTTTTTGTTGTTGTTTTTGGTGGGGGGAGGTTACTGAGGATTAAACTCAGGACCTGTACTTGCAAGTCAGCTGGAGGCACCACTGAGCTAAATCCCAGGCCCCAGGAAACTAATCTTAATAGAACAACTCACAGATATAATATTCATATTATGATTATTTTCTATTTTTAAATTTAATAAATATTTTATATAACTTTGTTTATGGAGACAGGGTCCATGTAGCTCAGGCTGGCCTCATATAAATGTTCCTCATGATTTTCAGAATAGCCCATAAAATTCAAACTTATAGTTTTAACAAAAACAAGTATGGAATAAAAAAAGAGTCCTAAATGCTGTCCCTATGGCTGCACTTTGGCTAGCAGTCTTTCTGTTCCTTTGTTTTTTACCTGAAGATTGATCTCGGCCTCATAGAAGGTTAAGCATGAACAGTAATGTCGATCGGAGTCAATATCTGTTAGTACCACCACGAAGAATGTTGGCTGCTTCCTCTCTCTGGATAGCTGCCATCCAGCAGGCTGACAAAACTAAATGGGACAGAAAAAAAATTGTCACATTATAAAGTATAATGAAAATTATTCCTTAATACTTGAGAGATATTTAATGTTTCTATTTTTGAAAATTTCTACCTGATGTGGTACGTCAATTCAACCAACATAAAAAATTTCACATACACTCAGTGGTGCCACTGCCTACCAAGCAAGCGCAAGGTCCCAAGATTGATTCCCAAAACACACACCCCCAAATTCACATACACATTCATAATGGAGAAAGCTTTTAACAAAATGGATATATTTTTTGAAATGTTATTTCTTATATGTCCCCCAAAGTCTCATGTGTTCACAGGTGGGGCTTTTGGCAGGTGAGTGGATTATGGGGGGTCTCTGACTACCAAGCCCCTCTGCCATGCTTGGAGCCAGCTGACTACAGACTGAAATCTCTGCAAACTATAAGCTAAAATAAACCATTCCTCCTTTACCTTGTGGGTTAAATTATTGTGTCTCAATGAGAATGTAACTAAGACATGAAGATAGTCTAGATTTTCTACAGGTGTCATTCTGAGATCATATTCCTGACACCAAGGGTGTCATATATAGGAAAACAGTACAAAATGAGGAACTTTTTTATAACCAAGAAACAAAACATGCAGTAAATAAGTTATTGAAATAAAATAAGAAGTTATGTATCACTAGTGGAAAAGAGAATGATTAAAGTATTTCCTCATGAATCTAAAGCCTTTTCAATTCAGTATAATGAACTGTTGACCAAGATAGATCATATTTAGGGCTAACAAAAAAGCAAAAGAAATATAATTTTTTAAAAAAAGACATTGTTTTCACAAATTGGGCTGAAATAACTAGACAGGCACAACCAAAAACAAAACAAAACAAAAAAAAGGAATCTAGACACAGACTTTATACTTGTAAGACCTAAAGTCTCACTTCCACTTTGCGGAGTGTGAAAGGCCTCCATGATGCTGAGTCCTATAGGCCAACGATGGCTCCAGACACAAGACCCAGGGCCTTACTTCCGGGAGTCATGAAAAGCCAAAAGGGCCTCCATGATGCTAGGACCTATAGTTCAGCAATTGCTCCAGGAGCTTGACGAGCAGCGAGAATCACCCAGGAAGGAACACACCAGACTAGTCGAAAAACAGACCTTTATTAGTCTGGCCAGACGGCACACCCGGAGCCTAGTAGCTCCGAAAGGTGCCAGCTCAGGGGGCTGAGGTCCTTTTTATAAGGGGATAGGCAGGGTGGGGGTCTATACTCAAGATGCTTACAGAATGTCCCAAAATTTTCAAAACATTCCTTCTGTAAGACCTAAAGCCTCATTACCACTCCAAGGAGCTCGACAGCCACTGAGGGCTTTCAAAATGTAAGACCAAGGGCCTTACTACCACTCCGAGGAGCTCGATTCTACCACTCGGAAGAGCTGGACAGCAACAAGATTCACCCGGGAAGGAACACACACGCCGGACAGGTTGGAAAGGGAACAGACCATTACAAATCTGGCCAGACGGCACTCCTGGAGCCAAGCAGCTCAGGGAGGCACCAGCTCAGGGGCTGAGGGGATAGGCAGGGTGGGGGTCCATACTCAAGATGCTTACAGAATGTCCCAAGGTTTTCAAGACATTCCTTCTGGGCAGACAAGGAGTGAAACAATCTTTATCTATTTACCCAGAACTACAAGGAGTAAAACAATCTTTATCTATTTACCCAGATCTACTAAATGTTCACCTGTTAATTTACATTAATCACAGGTGAGACTAGGATTTAAGATTACAAAGTTATGCAGTAAAGGTTACAAACAAAGGTCAGGGCTGTCGCAGCTGCAAAGGGAGAGTCATCAGATATCTTACAGTGGGTACATAATCTCTGGGGCTATTAGCCAGCCAACATGGAATCACTTTAGCTTAGTTGGATCTCTCATTCTCTTGCCCAAAAAACTCAAAATGGATCCCACACCTAAATGTAAAATGTAAAACCAAAGAAACTTCTAGAAGATAACAGTAGAATTAGATGACCTTAGGTTTTGAAATAACTTTTTAGATACAGTATCAAAGGTGTGATCCATGAAAGAAGTGATAAACTAGATTCATTAAAATTAAAAACTTCTGGGGGCGGGGGAGTTGGCTCAGTGGTTTTGCAACCTGCCTTGCAAGCACAAGGGCCTTGAGTTCAATCCCCCATACAAAAAAACAAACAAAACAAAACTGCTCTGTTAAAGACATTGTCAAGGCCAGGCCTAGTGCTCAGGAGGCTGAGACAGGAGAACTGCAGAGAGTAGAGGCTGTTAGGGACCTGACACCACCATCACAGGCTGTGTTCCCTTGGCTCTTAAAACAGCCTCATGGTCTTATCTTTAGTTTCCCTGCCCCCAAGGCCACAGGGGTCTGGTCCTGAGAGGTTAAACCTGTTTCTGCAGGACCAAACCCATAAAGGGCAACCTGGCCTGTGATAGGTTAAAAGTAGCCCACCCCTCATAAATAAGCAATAGCCCAGCCCAAAATCATAAAAGGACCTCCTCTTCCTCTTCCTCTTCTCCCTCTCTCCCTCTCCCTCTCTCCCTCTCTCCCTCTCTCTCCCCCGCCCTTCTCTCCTCTCTCCCTAACCTGCCTTCCCTAATAAAATCTCCTGTGGGACCTCTCCCTGTGTGTGGCCTACTTGTTGAGCATAGCTGCACCTCTACAGAGGCCACTGTGGGTTACATAGTGCGTTCAAGGCCAGCCTCAACTGCACAATGAGCCCATCTCAAACAATCAAGGAAAAAAACAACAAATAATGAGACTACATCCTGGAAGAAAATATAGTATTTGCAAAAGATGTATTTAATAAAGAACTGTTATCTAAGATGCACAAAGAAGTTAAAACTCATAACTAAAGAACATCTTGATTAAAAAATGGGCCACACTCCTTAACAGACACCTCACCAAAGAAGACATAAAGATATAAAATAAACATATGAAAAGATGCTCTACATCATATCACATCAGGGAAATACACATTAAAACAAGGAAGAGTTAAAGAGTGTATCTTAGTGGTAGAGCACTTGCCTAGCATGCTCGAGGCCTTGGGTTTGATCCCCAGCACCACAAAACAACTAATAAAAAAATACATTAAAAAATGGAGGTTATGATTGTATATATAATATAATGGCCAAAATCAGGAACAATGATTGTCTTAGTCACTTTCTTTGTCACTGGACAAAATACCTAACACAAGTTAAAAGAACAGAGGTTTATTGTGGCTCACAAATTTAGAAGTTTCAGACTTTGCATGGTTAGGGGCACTGTGGAAGGGCCGGTGCAGAAGAAAGCTGCTCACTTCATGGCAGCCAGGAAGCAGAGCAGGAAGAGACCAGACCAGCCAGGGAAGGAGATATACCCTTCCTGGCCATACTTGTAGCGATCCTTATGACTCTATCACTTTCCAAAGCACCACCTCTGAGTATATAAGGCTCTTGGGGGACATTCTTGATATAAACCATAACAATGACAATACTTAATTTGACAAGGATGTGGAGCAACAAAATGCACTTTTGTTGGGAATGCAAATGGGTACAGCCATTTTGAAAGATAGTTTCTCACAAAACTCAACATACTCTTTTCATAATATTCAGTGATCATTCTCCTTGGTAATTACTTAAATAAGCATGCAAATTTATGTCTGCATAAAATCATGCACAAGGATGTTTATGGTAACATTCATAATTGACAAAATTTAGAAGCAACCAAAATAGTCTTCAAGGGAGCGGAGTGAATAAATTAACTGTAGTACATTCAGAATACAGACTATTATTCAACACCAAAAAGAAATGAGCTGTCACGTCACAAAAGACATGGAGAAAATGTAAATGAGCAGTATGTGGTGATAGGAACCGAACCCAGGGCTTCACACAGGTTACGCAAGCATTCTGCCACTGAACTATACCTTCAATCCTATGTAAATGAGTATTAAAAATTAAAAACGCCAATTTGAAAGGCTTACATATTGTATGACCTCAACTATATGACATTCTGGAAAAGGCAAATCTAAGGAGATAGTAAAAAAAAAAAAAAAAAAAATCAGTGGCTGCCAGGAGGAAAGAATGAGAGTGAGTTATAAACAGGGATAAACAAGTGGGACACAAATTTTTAGGGCAATAAAACTACTGTATTCTATGTGATACTAAAATGGTGAACATGTGTCATCATCACATATTTGTCAAAACCCATAGAATGCACCATACCAGGAATGATTCCTAATGTAAACAATAGGCTTCCAGTGATAATGATGAATAATTGTAGTTTCATCTTCACAACAAATGTACCATTCACATGTAGGATGATGGGGAGGTTGTTCTGGGGGCAGGAGGAATATGGAAGCTATCTGAACTTTGTTTAATTTTGCTATAACTCTACAACTGCTCTAAAAGTAATTTTTTTTAACCTGGAGGATAAAGAGATAAATCTTTATTATAGAGAGCTAAATTAGGTACAAATATACACAGTGAGACAGGGTTAGGCCTTCAAGGGAGTCAATGCACAAGATGAGAACACATTAAAACTGTGGTTGAAGGTTCATCTGTTAAAGCCCAAACCTCAAGATAAGAGATGGAATGATGAGGCCTACACACCTCCCCAAGGGATAATTGGTATCACTTGCTCCAATTAAGACTGAATAGACATCAGTCACCTAGGTGGGTGATAAGGACCTCCTGATCCGTTCCTTCCTAAGAAGGTCCTTGTTCTTTCCATGTACACTTGATATGAGACCTGCTTCCCCAGTGGGTAAAAATTCCCTAAGTGGCTATATTGCAGATAGGTAAATTAGACATCTTGTAGGCAGTTAGATATCTAGTAGATATCTTGTAGGCCAGCCCATGAGGAACTAAGGACAGTCAAGAGCCCACATGGGGAGGACAATCAAGACACATTCACTCAAGGCAAGAATTGTAAAAGAGGGAACTACCACACCCAT